AAAATCAGCCTCTGTTTTTCAAACTATTAGTAAATGGGCTTCTCCAAACACGGCCGCTTTGCCTCTCTCCGCCGCCAATTTCCAATCTAGGCATCCCCTTCTCTCTTCATCTCTCCTCTAAATGCAGGCTGCTGACACATTTGCCTTTCTACTCCTGCAAAAGTGCTTTTAGTGCTGCCTTGAAATTATTATTATTATTATTATTATTATTATTATTATTACTTCTTTTTGAGACGGAGTTTCACCCTTGTTGCCCAGGCTGGAGTGCAGTGGCGCGATCTTGGCTCACTGTAACCTCCACCTCCCTGGTTCAAGCAATTCTCCTGCCTCAGCCTCCCAAGTAGCTGGGATTACAGGGGCGTATCACCATGCTCAGCTTAGTTTTGTATTTTTAGCAGAGATGGGGTTTCACCACGTTGGCCAGGCTGGTCTCAAACTCCTGACCTTGAGTGATCCACCCACCGGTCCTCCAAAGTGCTGGGATTGCAGGCATGAGCCAACTGCGCCCATAAGGTTTTGAAATTAGATTTGAAAAGTGCCTGCCCTCGAAGTACATAATGCCACAGAAATCATAAACTCTGTAATCCAACCCAAGGGGAGTAACACCAATGATGTTCTATTCCACATGGCATAAAACACTCTGCAGTGGGGCCACAGCTAATGCTGTGTCTGGAGAAGCCTGTGCTCCGTTCTCTAGATCCAGCCCACCAATGCCAGAGCCACGCTGCCCGTCCTCACAGCTGCACAGCAACAGCCCACCTCCATATTTATCGGAACGTTTCCCTCTGAGCTTCATTTAATATCTACTGATCAAGTAGAAAATTCATTTTGGAACAATTTTCAGAGCCAGTACAAAGATATCCTTAAGGACATGTTAGCTACATTACTTTAGTCCAATGAAATAAATAAATTTCTCAGCCTACAATAAACTCGGCATAAAGCAGGGCAGGCAGTCTCTGCAATGGGCCTGCTTAGCAGTTCCCCGGTGGGCCGGCAGCTAAGATTCAGATGGGCCTACTTCCGTGGAAATAAACAAAGGGCCAGGAAACAAACAGACATAGTGTGGAAATAAAGACAGAATTTAACGCAATCTACTTTGATCCAATCTACAATGACTTAGTCATGAACATCATCAAAAGATTTTTTCTTCTATGCCGTGTCAGAAAAACCTTACCATTCAGCAAGCCCAGGTCGCAGCTGAGCTCCAGACATGGGCAATCAACTGGGCATCTCCACCAGGACATCCCCACAATCCCCAAATTCAGCATGTCCAGATCAGGGCTCTTCACCTGCCCTCCTGCTCTGGTGTGTCTGATGTCACCGAATGACGTCATCATTCACACAGTCTTACAAGTCGGAAACTCAGCAGCCCTCCTGGAATCCATTCTCTCCCTCCCCACTCTCCCCATTCCTCCCAAATCCCTAAGTGCTAGAGATTCCCACCGTGTTCAGCCCTGATGCCTGTCTCTTCCATCCCAACGCCACAGCTCCTGTGTTACATGTTGCTTCTTCTTTTCTCCACCAGATTCTTCCAGCAGCCTCCTAACTATTCTCCCTACACACAGAGTCCTGGCTCCTCCAAGCCATTCTTCTCAGGACTGCCACAATAATCTTCCAATGTTAATCTTGATCATGTTGCTCCTTTCATTAAAACCCTCTGATGGCTCCCCAGTTTCTAAAGGATGAAGTTCAAGGTGGGCACACAAGGCCCTCCACTATCCCACCTCTGCGACCTTAGCGTCTCCAGGCATCACCCTGAACCCTTGCCCCGGAGAGCTCCCCAGCACACCAGCCTTTCTGTCTCCCATCTCCTGACCTCTGTTCGGGCAGCTGCTTCTGGATGAAATGTCAATGTCCCTCTGCGTTTCTGACCCTGCAAACCATGCTCCTTGTCAGGACCCTCCAATTCCGTGAAGCCTCTCCTCCCACCCCACCCTGAAGGAACAAGAGGGCATCCCCGCTCCTCGAGGCCCTGGCCATGCTCCTATCACAGCATCTCCAATGTCACTGCACGCATTCAGCGACAAAACTACACACTTCCAGAGGGCCAGAAGCGCACGTCATCTTTTAAACTCAGTGCCCAGCAGTGCTGCCTACTGCACGGTGAGAATTTAATAAATATTTGTAAAATGAATGAATGTCTCCATGACAACATTCTGAGTGGTTTCAAACTATTTTCTTTCCAGCTCATTGGCTTTGCTTTCAGCTGCTCATGATGCGGAACTGCCTCCTATTCCACATGTAAATCATTCGAAGAGCACCAAAAAAAAAAAAAAAAAGTCAGTACAGGAGATATTCGAGATCACCTTCTTAGCCCTGGAGAAATCACTTCTTTGTTCTTGACTCCTGGAAGAGGGGTCACACTTCTAGGCACTCCGGTGGAGGATTCTGAGAAACTATCAAAACAAGTTATTCCAGACCTCTGGCCCTCCTTGGTTTTTAAATGCCCTCTCCCTGGAAATGATTATTTCAGGGAGGCACAGGGTGAAGACAATTAAAACACACCATCCGTGGCATCAACAGGGCTGGCTTACAAAGCCTACATCCATGGCCTCTGCTCATGAGAACGAAAAATAACGCTAAAAAATGAAACTGACTTCCTCCACTTTTGTGCTTCTAAGCCCGTAACGGAGTCACACAAAAATACAGTCACCACCCTTGATCCATCAGCAGGCAGCCCATTTGAGATGCTCTGGGCCCACCCAGAATTCCATCTACAATGTTAAATAACTGTAATGTGTCTGCAACTTAATGTCACCAGCAAATAACTTCTTCTCCAAGCACCGATTTCATATTGGAAAATGAGCAATTTAAATAAATGTCTCATTACCATCATGTTTTCCTGCTAGATGCTAATGTACTTAATTTGTTTTCCCAGATTCGCTTCGATACAATCATTTCCTGCAATCCTGCTCAGGACAATCTGAAACTCACTGGTTTCCTAACAGACAACCCAGAGAACCTAGAAACAACCAAACTACCAAACAAATAAGCAAAACCACTTCGCTACAAAGTTACGGAGACCTATTGGTTCTCAGTCACTTATCATGTATGCTGTCGCTTCTTCTGGGAGTTACACAAAGGTCAGAAGAGGATAGACTGTCCTGGGCCTCTCAGCGGTGCTGGGTTTGTATGAATGATGGCTGATCATTGTTCAGTGGGCACTCCTAGTCCCACTAAGAGAGGAGTGGGCGAGATGGTTTATTCAGAAAGAATGTGAGGAGCGTGACATTTTGTGTCGAGGCCCCAGCAGGCTTGTTCTCATTCTGCTTTGCTTATCTATACAGAGATTCTTGCTATGTGCTGATTCCAAACCCCAACAATTTCAAGGACATTTCGAACATCTTTTATTAATAGCAACTCTTAAAAATTTCCATAGCACACTGCTCAGACACACTCCAAACAGGCTAAATCAGGTACCATATAAGGGCCTGTTCCCCCAAACCTTGTGAGATTATGGGGCAACGGCTTCATCATGACAGCGTATGGAACAGTGCGGACACTACACTCACAAAACATCGTCGCTGGGTGGATCCAGCCGCGTCAGAACGGTTCTGGGAGCCAGGCGCCATAGCTCATGCCTGAAATTCCAGCAATTTGAGAGGCTGCAGTGGGAGGACTGCTTGAGGCCAGGAGTTCAAGTCCAGCCTGAGCAACACAGCCAGCCTCCCATCTTTAAAAATACTTTTTAAGTTAGCTAGGCATGATAGTGTGTGCTTTTAGTCCCAGCTACTCAGGAGGCAGAGGTGGGAAGATCACTTGAGCCCAGGAGTTGAGGCTGCAGTGAGCCAAGATTGTACCACTGCACTCTAGACTGGGCAACAGAGCAAGACCCTGACTGAAGGAAAAAAAGAAAAAATAAATGGTTCTGTGTGCGCCATTATACAAAAGGAGACTTTCTCATATTTATGCTCCCCATGTATAATAGAAATAAATGCAAATGTTGGCTGGGCACAGTGGCTCAAACCTATAATCCCAGCACTTTGGCAGGCTAAGGCAGGTGGATCACCTGAGGTCAAGAGTTCAAGAGCAGCCTGGCCAACATGGTGAAATCTCATCTCTAGAAAAATACAAAAATTAGCCAAGCATGATGGTGGGCGCCTGTAATCCCAGCTACTTGGAGGCTGAGGCAGGAAAACCACTTGAATCTGGGAGGTGGAGGTTGCAGTGAGCCAAGATCATGCCATTGCACTCCAGCCTGGGTGACGGAGTGAGACTCCATCTCAAAAAAAAGGTAAATAAATGAATGAAAAATAAATGAAAGTATATTTTTATTTCTATTACACACAGCGAGCAAAAATAAAACTCAAAAAAAAAGCGAAGCACTGAAACAATGAACTCTATGCAGCCTGCTGGGTGCCAGGTGCCACGTGTGCAGCAGAGAATGGAAGAAACCATCAGAACATGTGGAAATAACGCTGGCCAGGTTGGTATTCCAGGCTCTGCCACATACGAGCTACAGGCTTTGAATCCATGACTTTATTTTGTGAGCTTCATCATCTGATTATAAATAAAACAGCAGCAGCAGCAGCAGCGGTACTTGTAACGGTGGCGACAGCAGAGGCCTTTACTGAGCACTTACTATGTGGCAATTGCTGCAGTGAGCACTTTACAAAAACTTAGTAAGCGGCATCTCACCAAAGCCTTAGAATACCCGGCCAGGGAGACGCCAGGAACTCCACTTTACAGAGGAGACTCAGGGCTCCGTAACCAGCCCAAGGTCACTCGGCTACCGGGAGTGGCAGGGTCTCAGTTCCCAAGCAAGTCTGCCTTCACAAGCTGCGCCCTTTAGAACTAGAACTACTTCCAACCACAGCTGTGCATGTTATAAGACCCGAGAGATCTACCGGGAAAAGTGCTTTGAAAGGTGGTTATCATTTGCAGAGCCCGCGTCCTGGGGGCCCCTCTGTTCATGGGGAAACCTGCCTCCGGGGCAGGCCTCCCAAAGGACACACGGGCCAGGAGGTGGGGAGGAGAGGATGGCCGCCCCCAGCACTTACTTTCTCAAGACGGCTATCTCATTCTCTATGCTGCTTTCCTTGCCCTTCAGCGCCTTCTTAGGGATACACTTCACGGCAAAGAGCTTGCCAGTTGCCTTCTCTTCGGCTAAAACCACTTCGGAAAAGGCCCCGCTGTGAACAAAGGAGGGAAAAAGAACACTTAGACGCAGGAGTCTGGTTTCACGACAGCTCCTCACCCCAGCACCGAAGTCTGAGTAAACAATAACGACTGCACGATTTCAATCACTACCGTTACTTTTATCCAGCATGGCTCCTGGCCAAACCATGCAGCTTGTATCCTTTTTTTTTGAGACGGAGTCTCTCTCTGTCGCCAGGCTGGAGTGCAGTGGCCCGATCTCGGCTCACTGCAACCTCCACCTCCCAGGTTCAAGCGATTGTCCTGCCTCAGCTTCCTGAGGAGCTGGGATTACAGATACCCGTCACCACACCTGGCTAATTTTTGTATTTTTAGTAGAAACAGGGTTTCACCACGTTGCCCAGGCTAGTCTCAAACTCCTGACCTCAAGTGATCCACCCGCTCGGCCTCCCAAAATGCTGGGATTATAGGTGTAAGCCACTACGCCTGGCCACTTTATTTGCCACTTTATTTATATTACTATTACACAGTAATGTATAATGAAATAATTCTACAACTCGCCATCATGTAGAATCAGTGGAGCCCTGAGCTTGTTTTCCTGCTACTAGTCGGTCCCATCTGGGATGATGGGAGACAGTGACAGATCATCAGGCATTAGATTCTCATAAGGAGCGTACAGCCTAGATCCCTCGCATGCCCGCAGTTCACAGTAGGGCTCATGCTCCTGTGAGGATGTAATGCCCTCACTGATCTGACAGGAGGCGGAGCTTAGGCGGTAACTGGAACAGGAGGAGGAGCTTAGGCGATAACTTGAGCAGAAGGCGGAGCTTAGACGGTAACTGGAGAAGGAGGCGGAGCTTAGGCAGTAACTGGAGCAGGAGGCAGAGTTTAGGCGGTAACTGGAGCAGCGCAGAGTTGCTGGAAGCACAGATGAAGCTCTGCTTGCTTACCTGCTCCTCACCTCCTGCCTTGTGGCAAAGTTCGTAACAGGCCACATACCCTACAGGCATCAGTCCGCAACCCAGGGGTTGGGGACCCCTACTTTAGTCACCGTCAAAGAGACTCCTGAACAGGGAGAAACCCCTCCTCCGCCTCTCTGAATCACTTGTTACCCGCCTGAGAACAGGGCACACTGTCACAGTCCAAGGGAAGGTAAATGCATGTATTAAACATCCTTTCCAGCGAGAGGAATTCACTTCCACTCAGAGCTATTAACTTCAGGACGACGTTCCCCCCGGGCACCTGGATGCCCAAGGGAAAAGTCTGTCTAGCTTCAAGGTCTGTTTTTAATTATACAAACCCAAGGAGCAGAACATAGTACATTCCACAAAATATCCCAGATGAAAAATATCAGAAGCAGGATCTTCTGCCCAAATCCACCAATTAATTATTCACCTGTAGCACTCTCCCCTCAAGATACTATGTGCCAGAAGCCAAACCTTCTAGAACCTTCCAGAACAAACATCATTAAAAATAAACGCATAAAGACCCACCACAGGTTAATCACGGAGGGATACACATAGTCAGGCATTCCAGTGACACTGGCCATGGCCAGTGGCTATTGTCCAGGAAACCCAAATGGCAATGACCCCAGACACGGCCTCTGAGCCACACACCATCCATCCCCACCCACCTCTAAGCCAGGGGGAGACAGGTGGCCGCACCTCACAGAGTTCTTAAGTGGGCCAAGACACTGAACCAGGAGGTATGTGTTCCCTCTCACTACCCTCTGGGAGGCAGAACAAGAACTACGTTAGAGTATGAGAAAAATCACTGGAGAAAGACCAAGGTTCAAGCACCACAGTGGTTTTATACCAGATACTCCATTCATTCATTCATTCGTTCGTTCGTTCGTTCATTCGTTCGGTTTCCCTGTTGGCCACTTGACTCCCTAATGCTGATATACCCCAACAGTCCTGAGTTTGCTGGATTTACTAAGGGCATTTTCCAGAAGGCGGAAAAGCCCTTTGGCAGTAGTGATCGCAGCCACGGGCTTGGGCTAGGAACCACAGTCAGGCCGCTCTCCTCCTGAGCTGCCCCTCGCTCCACTCCCCGTCCACAGCCGCTCCTTCCTCTACACAATCCCTGCAATCAGAAATGACCACGCCGGCGCAGAGGGGACACCCTGCTCAACAGGACTCTCAGGAGCCTATAAGGGAAAAGCGCTTCCTTGCCTGGAGGAAACAGTGAGAAGTGAGGATGCCGCAGGACTCAGCCCCTGAAGGACAAGAGATTGGGGAGGGGACCGAGGGATCTCCCCAGAGCCAGCACTGCCACGGCAGGAAGCTGACAACACAGTGAGGCACCGATGCCTGTGGAGGGAGAGTTTTTCTGCCTTTGTCCCTGGTTGGGTGCTGATGAACTATGTGGCCCCCTATGGGGAAGGCCGGACAGTGGCACAGAGGTACATCAAGAGAGTCACGTGCTAAACAGCCCAGGCTTGACACCACATGACCAAGGGGTCTCCACCCGAAGATCCTGAGTAGCGTCATGGAACTAAGGTTCCAGTCCCATTCTTTCCGAATCCAGTTCAGCCCGCAACTCCATGCCTAGGTCTAGACCCAGAAGGGAAAGCGGGAGCTCAAACAGGTGCGTGGACAGCCATGTTCACAGCAGCATTGTTCACAACAGCCACAAGGTGGCAACAATCCTTGCATCCACTGGTGGACAAATGGATAGATAAAATGTGGTCTACACAACGAACAGAACAGCCACAAAAAGCAATGGAATTCTGACCCATGCCAGAACATGGATGAACTCCGAGGACATTATGCTAAAGGAAATAAACCAGATACAAAGAGACAAATACTGCCAGGCATGGTGTTCACGCCTGTAATCCCAGCACTTTGGGAGGCTGAGGCAGGTAGATCACAAGATCACTAGTTCAAGCCAGCCTGGTCAACATAGTGAAACCCCATCTCTACTAAAAATACAAAAGTTAGCCGGGCATAATGATGGGCACCTGTAGTCCCAGCTACTCAGGAAGCTGAGGCAGGAGAATCGCTTGAACCTGGGAGGTGGAGTTTGCAGTGAGCCAAGATTGAGCCACTGCATTCCATCCTAGGCAACAGAGCAAGACTCCGTCACACACACAAAAAAATAGTAACAATACCACATGATTCTACCTATAGGAGGTGTCCAAAGTCATCAAATTCATAGAGGCAGAAAGTAGAATTGTGGTTGCAGGGACTGGGGGGAAAAGGTGATGGGAAGTCCTGTTTAAAGGGGAGTTTCAGTTTGGGAAGATGAAAATGATCTGGAGGGCAGGCGTGGTGGATCACACCTGTAATCCCAACACTTTGGGAGGCCAAGGAAGGCAGATCACTTGAGGTCAGGAGTTCGAGACCCACCCGGCCAATATGGTGAAAGCCTGTCTTTACTAAAAATATGAAAATTAGCAGCATGCGACTGGCACATGTCTGTAGTCCCAGCAACTCTAGAGGCTGAGGTGGGAGAACTGCTTGAGCCCAGGAGGCAGAAGTTGCAGTGAGCCAAGATCGTGACTATGTACCCCAGCCTGGGTGACAGAGCAAGACTCCATCTCAAAAAAAAAAAAACAAAAGGTGCTGGAGATGGATGGGGGTGATGGTTGCACAACAATGTAACTGTACTTGATGCCACCAAACTGTACACTTTAAAATGGTTAAAATAGGCCAGGTGCAGTGGCTCATGCCTATAATCCCAGCACTTTGGGAGGCTGAGGTGGGAGGATCACTTGAGCCCAGGAGTTTGAGACCAGTCTGGGCAACACAGTGAAACCCTGCCTCTACAAAAAAATTTAAAAATTAGACAGGCATGGTGGTGTAAACCTGTCGTCCCAGCTACTTGGGAGGCTAAGGTAGGAGGATCACGTGGGCCCAGGAAGTCAAGCCTGCAGGGAGCCATGTTACAGCGCTGTACCCCAGCCTGGGGCACAGAGCAAGACCTTGTCTCAGAAAGAAAGAAAAAAAAAAAAAAAGCTTAAAATGGTGGGGAAAAAAAAGCTTAAAATGGTAAAATGTATATTTTACTACAATAAAAAGAGAAACATAAAAGTTTGCTTACTTCTAATCAATGATATTGCCTGAGGATGGACACACTGGAAGAACTAAATAAAGCTTTTCACTCAATTCCTCCCTAAAGCAAAAAGAAATTATATCACCTCCAGGGTGCCAGCTGGTATAAGCAACTTGATATTTACAGAGGACTTTGGCATATGTCCGTGAATCCAATCCTTACAGCAACCCCAAGAAGCAGACAAGAAGTTATTGTCATCTCCATTCTACAGATGAGGATACTGAGTCCCGTCACACAAGTGCTAAGAGACAGAAAATAAAACTCAGTTTCCTATCGCCTCCGAGGTCCCTTCTCAATGCGTTATGCTGGGCCGATAACTGTGGCTACCAGGGAGTGTGCCTGGCAAGGGCCACAGGTGACAGGGATGGAGGGGTAAGGAGACCCTGTGGTCAGATGAGCTGCCATCACTCCGAGCCCACATATCCACCTGCTTCATCATTTAGCCGAACAATGTGCACTGACCCACTTGAAGCTTTCCAAAGACAAAGTTCTCTGGTCTTCTTAAGGGATGTGAGATTACCATAAATTGTTATTGTTCCCACAATAAATGGAAATCACGTGAGGACACTTCCCCTGTTCCAGGAAAGCTAATTAGAAACATCAAACACAAAGCTCATGAATGAACAGCCTGAGCACTTTCGATGTAATTACGTAACACACAGGTGTGTGTGTGTGTGTGTGTGTGTGTGGTGGTGTGAGAGAGAGGGAGAGAGAGAGGGGGAGGGAGGGAGAGAGGGGGGTGGTGTCCAGGTGACAAGGAAAATGATCTGAAAACTATAAAGACTTCCCACAACCCAAGAACATAAATTCCAAGGAACAAAAGCAGGGACAGAGTGACAAAGGGTTGTTTGCTCATTTGCTTGCTTGTTTGTTTTGGGGGCAGAGTCTCGCTCTGTCACCAGGCTGGAGTGCAGTGCCATGATCTCGGCTCACCGTAACCTGGTTCAAGCAACTCTCCTGCCTCAGCCTCCTGAGTAGC